TATTTTGGAGACTTGAACAATCTTTATTTGCAGAATTCTCTATATCAAACGCCATAAAAGATGAGTGTGCTTGAGCACGATGGTGTGTAGTTGGTTTTACAAAATGTCTTGTACTATAAATGAAGTGTGTGCCATTTGGTGCAAAAGTGTGGTGTTTCTGTAGTTCTGGGTGCAGTGCTTCATTCTGCAGTAGGTGTTTTGCACTTTGTATGTATGGTTTTGTGAATTGTGTTTAGTGTTTTGAGAAAATAAGCCCTGCTTTCAAAAAATGTGTTTTAGCATTGAAAAAAACTGTAATATGGACACAATGTTAATCTATCTCTGTTATGTGAGGTGATCTCTGCAGCTTACAGTCTGTCCATTTTATTGACAATTTTAACTTTTTCTGGGATCGCAGACATCTTTTTAAGGCAGATGGAGTTTGCCTGAACAAGTCAGGAGTGAAATTGTTTATCTCTAACATATTCAACTGCCTGCGTCAGCAATCTGTTCCCTCTGCCAAGGACAAGCGGCAAGAGGAATCAAAACAGGAGAAAGACACAACACATTGCGCAGAAAACCCTGAAGAAGTATCACTGCACCCGCCTGAGGAATGTTCTGATTATGGGAGACCTATGACACAAATGGAGGAGTCTCCACTGTCCGTCACCCCCCCTGTCAACGCCTTTGAGGATACTCTTCATTCATCCCACAGCTCTCTCTACTCTCCGCTCACCCTTTCACCCTCGCCCTCCCCCCTGGAGTTCGATGACCGCATGAAGGCGAGATGCAGGGTTGGCAGCATGTCCTTTACCCCCGCCCCTCAACGACGCCCACCAAAATCACCGAAGACAAGCCTACGTCAACCACCTCCCCCCCCTGGCAGCATCTCCTTTACCCCCGCCCTTCCACAACGCCCACCAAAATCACAGAAGCAGAGACGCGCACCATCTCCCCCGTCTTCATCACCGTGCCTACGTCAACCACCTCCCATCCCTTCAAGAAAGCATCTGCAGTCTCCGAAGCCTGATAAGGATGTGTGTGTACAAAACGCAACAAACTTTTACTGATATGTGCTGGGTCCAGGCTCAAGGGCATATGGCACTCTCAACTCTTTCCAGCACATGCCGGGGCCCTGCCTGCCAGTAGCTTTGCCGATATCTGTGTTGATAGGTAATAGATTAAGAGCGGTAAATCAGCTTAGAAACAGGAAGTGCTCAAACGTTTGTGTGAATTTATCAAATTTAGCAGTGATTCCATGTCAGCCACAGCTTGTCACAACATTTTTTACTGATAGTGTATTTAACAAACTTAAACTAGCTTTATTAAATGTCAGGTCTTTGGCAGGAAAAACATTTTTAATCAATGATTTTATCACTGAGCACAATCTCGATTTTATGTTTTTAACGGAAACTTGGATTGAACAAAATAACAGTGCAGCTGTTCTTATCGAATCAACCCCTCCCAACTTTAGTTTTATGAGTCAGGAAAGAATGCATAAGAAAGGGGGTGGAGTTGCTATTTTGTTCAATGATTCCATTCAATGCAGGAAGACATCTTATGGGGACTTTGCTTCTTTTGAATATGTGGCCCTTCAGCTGAAATGCTCCTCTCGAGCTCTGTTCCTAAATATCTATAGACCACCCAAATACTGTGCAAGCTTTTTTGATGATTTTACTGAACTGCTGTCTATAGTGTGTATTGACTTTGACCGTTTAGTCATTGTTGGTGATTTTAACATCCATGTTGACAACCCCCAGGACAGAGGGGCTAAAGAACTGTTTTGTGTTCTTGATAACTATGGACTGACTCAGCATGTGGCGGAGCCCACGCACAATAAGGGGCACACTCTGGACTTAATTATCTCAAAGGGTCTGAATATCTCAAAGGTTGTGGTGACTGATGTTGCACTCTCTGATCATTCCTGTGTTTTCTTTGAGAGCTCTATTTCTGTTCACAAAAATGTTCAGAAAGAGGTAACCACAAAGCGCTATTTAACAGAAAATACTAGGGAAATCTTTACTCATAATTTTTCATCCACACTTGCCCCTGCTAACATCTCAGTAAATGAGCTAGTAGATCATTTCAATTCAAAAATTAAAAATGTTATAGATACCATTGCTCCAACTAAGGTAAAGGAAGTGATTAGCAAGAAAATATCTCCATGGAGAAAGGCCATGACCGTGAGAACAGAAAAAAGAGAGTGTCGAAAAGCTGAACGTAGGTGGCGAAAAACAAATCTCCAGGTTCACTTTGAAATCTATAAAGAGAGACTTGGCCTTTATAATTTGGAATTGAAAAACGCACGACAGTCTTTCTTCTCTGACATCATTACCAAAAACAAAAACAACGCACGTGCCTTGTTTGCTACCGTCGACAGACTAACTAACCCCCCAGTGTCAGTAGCCTCTGAATTTCTATCCACCAGGGCGTGCAATGATTTTGCCTCCTTCTTCACTGACAAAATTCAGAAAATTAGACAAGCAGTCAGTGCCTCTACATCAGGTACAGCAAATGTTTTGTCCCTATGTCCACCTAATATCAATTCAAACACCATGACACAATTCCATCAGATTAATGGTAAAAACTTAGAGGACATTATTCAACTTCTGAAATCCTCCTCCTGCTGCCTTGATATTATTCCAACAGGATTTTTCAAAGATGTTTTTCCTTGCATGGCCTCAGATCTACTTCATATAGTAAACACATCTCTTCACTCAGGTATTTTTCCAGAGGCCCTGAAAACTGCAGTCATTAAACCGCTCTTAAAAAAGAATAATCTAGATGCCTCAGTAATGAACAATTACAGGCCAATATCAAACCTGCCATTTCTAGGTAAAATCATTGAAAAAGTTGTATTTCAACAGTTGAGTAACTTCTTGCATTTAAATAACTGTTTGGATGTGTTCCAGTCAGGATTTCGTCCAAACCACAGCACTGAGACTGCTCTTGTAAAGGTCTTCAATGACATCCACTTAAACACAGACAGTGGCAGAACTTCAGTGTTAGTATTATTAGATCTCAGTGCTGCGTTTGACACTGTTGACCACAACATATTACTAGACCGACTAGAAAACTGGGTGGGACTTTCGGCAACAGTTCTAAATTGGTTTGAGTCCTACTTAAAGGACAGAAAAAACTTTGTTTCTATAGGTAAATACACATCTGAGTTGACAAATATGACATGTGGGGTACCTCAAGGCTCCATCTTGGGGCCTCTTCTCTTTAACATCTACATGCTACCACTGGCTCAGATAATGAAAAACAACAAAATAAGTTACCATAGCTATGCGGATGACACACAAATTTACGTAACAATTTCACCAGGAGATTATGCTCCAATTCAAACACTGAGTAAGTGCATTGAACAAATCAATGACTGGATGTGTCAGAACTTTCTCCAATTAAACAAAGATAAAACTGAGGTAATGGTTTTTGGAGCCAAGGCAGAACGTATAAAAGTTAGCGCTGAGCTTCAGTCTGCAATGTTCAAAACAACAGATACAGCCAGAAATCTAGGTGTAGTCATGGACTCTGACCTGAGTTTCAACAGTCACATTAAAACAGTTACTAAATCAGCCTACTATCACCTAAAGAACATATCTAGGATTAAAGGACTAATGTCACAGCAGGATTTGGAAAAACTTGTCCATGCTTTTATCTTCAGTAGACTCGACTACTGCAATGGTGTCTTTACAGGCCTCACTAAAAAATCTATTAGAAAGCTGCAGCTGATTCAGAACGCTGCTGCTCGAGTCCTCACTAACACTAAGAAAGTGGATCACATCACTCCTGTTCTGAAGTCCTTACACTGGCTTCCTGTGTGTCAAAGAATAGATTTCAAAATATTGTTGCTGGTTTATAAAGCTTTGAATGGTTTAGGCCCAAAATACATGTCTGACCTACTGCTAAATTATGAACCATCCAGAACTCTCAGGTCTTCAGGGACTGGTCAGCTTTCTGTCCCCAGAGTCAGAACTAAACATGGTAAAGCAGCATTCAGTTATTATGCTCCAAATATCTGGAACAAACTCCCAGAAACCTGCAGGTCCGCTGCAACTCTTACTACTTTTAAATCCAGGCTGAAGACTTTTCTTTTTGCCGCTGCTTTTAATTGAACTATTCACATCTTAAACTGCACTGTAACTTTTAACTTTTATCCATGTATTTTTTCTTTTAATGTTTATTTTATTATCTTTTCTTTTTAATGACTGATTTTAAATGCCATTTTTAAAATGTCTTCCATTTTTGTAAAGCACTTTGAATTACCTTGTGTTGAAAGGTGCTATATAAATAAACTTGCCTTGCCTTGCCTTACAGTTAAAGGAGCATGTACTTGTTTTTCACCCTTTTTCAATGTGTAAATTGGAAACCTGTAATAAATATAATACTTTGCCCTTTCAATTGTTTTTTTCAAAATGTATTTACCCAAGCTTAAATATTCTACCAGTACTATTACAGTGTGCAGTGCAGGTCTGAAACCACATTCAAGCAATTTGGGATGTGTCCAATCTGACAATAGAAAACTTGAGAGAAAAACATTAATCTTCCATGCCTGAAAACAGCTTAAATAATTTTTCAAACATTCCCCTACACAACCAAACCCCAAATCACTGCTCTGATTATCAAGACATTTAATTGACCAAGTACAACATTGACAATAATGTAATACTACATTTGTAATTACAATACAAACATGTAATATTTTTTAATCTGATATGGGTTGATTGGGGTGTAACAGAATGTAAAGGCTCAATCAACGGGTATTACAGTGTCACACAAATTATTCAGGATACTGTAGACGTGGATGTGTTGAATTTATAAGCCAGCTCTTGCAGGGGTTGGTTTAATCTTAATTTCATTAGTGTCAGTATAAACTGTTGAAATTTAGACTGTGGACGCTTAGCGTTCACACTGATGTGCAGTTCCACAAGATTGTATACCATCATTAGAATAGCAAAAGTAGGAAGTCCCGTGTAGAACCGCACATGGTCATCATCGCCCTTAAATGTACTCTCTGAAAGTTAACATTTTCTGTTGTTACATTATTAATTTCAAATGACATTTTGTCAATCATTTCACCAGTCAAATCAGTCTGAGTTGCAGTGCCAGTCTCTGGTTCAATCAGTCCTTCTTCTTCCCCAGTGGCTCCCAGGACTGGTGCGGGCTCTTCTGGAGATGGTATATCAGATACCATGCTGTAGAGATCAAGTAGTGCGATGGATGACCTTTTTCTGGCGCGTTTATACCTGGCATGTGTAGCAGGGGAAGGTGCTGTAATTTTCTCGTGGCCCAATTTGACAGACGGTGCCCAGTCAGGATGATTTTTGTCAAAAAGTGCCACTGATTTACCTGCAAATAAATCAGATTGTAGGTCAGTTATATCCTGGGTGAACTGTTAATACAAATTTGACCTCTTTTGACAAGCGAAGTCAGACTTTAGATATATTTAAAATGCTGGTGTCAAGACATAGGAACATGACAAATAATTGAGGAAACCAAAAGCCTCTGAAAAGGTGCCATGGACTGTACAGCCTTTACTGTTTACATATAATCAAATGGCCAGTAGGGGGAGGAATTACTTTAAATTACAGTTAAACGAAGCACTGCAGGGGACTGACAGACTGGTGTGAAGATGACCTGAGCCAAGGGATGACTACTTTGTAGATACTCCACAATCTGATATGTCGATCGATGACAGACTCCAGGATTCTTATTTCCTTGTTAAGATACATGTCTTAGTACGTGGGTTATATGTTCATTTTGAATGTTTGTATGTAAAACCCGACACTTACCTGACGTGAAATGATCCCCACAAACGCGAGTATAGTTGTGGTTGGATGGTTTGAGATCCTCCCGTCCGATCCTATTGAGCCATTTTTCCCGGCGACGCTTTGAAAGTTCATGTGTTGCTTCACCCTGGTGTGTTATAACCGCCGGCAGCCTGTAAAATGACTTCGGCCCCCTGTTTCGATCACCTCTGTTGCCGCAGCCAACAATGGCACAGAAGTTAACAATTATATGTCCGGTAAAAAAACAGCGCTGACGTATTACGGTGTCTGTTTTGGTACTCCAGTATGGCCGTTGGGCTGACGTCACGTTACCCGTGACGTCATATGCAAAGCCTCTATGCTGTTTTTTTCAGCAGGGAGGTCCCCTTTAACACATACAGAGGGTAAATTCAAAGTAGTACATTCACTGACATGAATGACATGGATATGGCGCCACCTTGTGTCCAGTGGCGTTTTTATATGTACAAAAGTGGTGGGGCACAAAAAACTTAGATGTCTATATATAAGCTTCTGCAGTGACGTGCAGTGAGGTTCATGGCTGGTGAGGCACTGGCACTGACTCTTCAGGTTTACAAATGTTATATTTTGACCTAAACCAAAATATAATATTATTTTCAAAAGCTTTTTTTGTCTGATGCTTCGATTAATTTTAAACAGACAGTTCAACAAAAGGATACCCAAAAAATGTAATTTTATCATTTAAATATTGAATTGTTCTCTCTTAGTAAGATCCCATTTTCAAAAAATTGCGGTCTTACCTTGACTTGAAGATGAAGTCCATTTTCCTATCCTTCTGGACAAAAAATTCTATAACTTTTTTGTAAAAGTCCTCCTTATCTTCTTGTAGTTTCAAAAGTCTATCATAAATCTAATTGATAGATTTATGATTCGAAAATTATAAAAGTAGGGTAGACATGTGGATATTATCTGGCTGAACAAAACGTGCATTTATCTAACAGGTACGTTTCCCACAGATCTTATTTACAGCTATTTTCTAAAATCCTATGGAGAAACCTCATTGCTTTTTTGCAGCTTACTTCCTGGTTTTAGGACGCGTCACTGCAGCTCTCTCGTCTCCTCTTCACACACATCACACTTTTCGCGGCACACGTACTTACAGCCAATCAGCTCTGAATGATGTGAGATGACGTATGGTGGGGATGGCAGCTCTGTGCCCCTATGGTCTTTTTTTTTTTGCCACACACATTACATTGAAAAATACTCTGAGCATGCGCAGTGTAGTTTTTACAGTCACCGTTCACTTTGACAGTGAAAGGGTGGGGCATGATCAGGTTTTGTCCCACATGGCTCAAAACGGCACTGTAGACACTAATTAGAAGAACACAGACTAAAACAGCAATGTACAGACGAATCAGATGATTAAACATGACCTTAAAATATATTTTATATATTTTTTTATTTCTTTTTTTGCATCTCTTTGCATTTTTTGTAATCATTATGTGTAATACTTTCTGCTGACACTAGGTGGGGCTGTGCCCCACCTGCCCCTAATGACCAGTCGCCACTGCTTGTGTCATGTTTACAATGCAGATTATTGACATTAGGTCTGGCAATAAAGTCAATCATTATCCTGGTGATTATTTCGCAGATAAACCTAGTAACCCCGCCCCCTTTAAAAAAAAAACGGCTCTTTTGAACTGCTCTTTTGAACGGCTCTTTGAAAGGAACGGAGCCATAAGTTCCGGCTCCCTTCAAAGAGCCATAATTCCCATCACTAATGACAACAGACGGAGCTGTAGTGGTGTTCGGGGCGGGCCACATTCTCCACCCACATTCCGGTGGCTACATCACACACACTCACACACACAAAACTGTGTTGTGTGAATCACTGCTCATCATCAAGGAAGTCGCAAGCATGGAGTCAACTGAGGGTTTCGTGAAGTATCAGCTGGGCTTACCCCACATGCACCACTTGATCGCGGTGCTCTGTGTTGTTGCCGTTGTTTATAAGTTGACAGTCTTGCTCGCCCAAAGAAGAGCTGCGATGCAAAGTATGGAATTGTTTCCAGGACCACCGTCGCACTGGCTTTTTGGACATCTAAAGGAGGTAACGTGTATAATGACTGCTCAGTGACGCAGAAGCAAGTGCAAGAATCAATTAATAATAATAATGTATTAATAATAATAGAATCTCTGACTTACTGACCAATTTATTTTAATACCCTCACACTCACGCAATTGTTTAATACTCAACAGAATTCTACAAATGGTCTTCTTTAGTATTCACTAAGCACAAGAGCAGACAACAAACTAGTAAAATTAATAGTTATTAAATGAGCAGCCAACAATCAAAATTATGAAGTTACTGTTTAAGGACATTACAGGCAAAAAGATCGTTTTTTCATGTACTTGTTATTTTGGTTTATTTTGCTTCCATGTTTTCTTTCACTCTAATGGAAATAAAACTTCCAAGAAACACATATAAATGATGTTCGTTTTACTACCCTGTCATTTAAAGATGATTAAATGTAACATTTCATTTGTTTATTTGCATGGGAGAATAGTCATTTCAGCAGCAGATGTAGAATGTGTCTTCCTGTCCTCACTCTAGCATGTTTCTGATCAGAGGAATAAGAATGAATGCAACCACTGCAAGTCCACTGAGACAAATGTAACATTTGTGATATTGGGCTATATAAATAAACATTGATTGATTGATTGATTGATTGATTGATGAACCGTCCCTTTTTGCAGCTTCCCCAGTGTTGCAACTGTCAAAGGTCATCCCCAGTCTCATCATGTGCCAACAGACTCAGATTTGCAATAAGAAAAGCCTGAGAAAACACTGCGAAAAAAGGAAATTCAAAGCGTATTCTTATGTTATTATTATTATTATTATTATTATTATTATTATTATTATTATTGGTGTTATTTAATTTGGGTTGTCCCTGATTTGAACTTCTTTACATTTATTTAAGTAACAATTTGGATGCAATTAAGGCTTAAACTTAGCAGTTGAGTATTAGTTTATAGAGCATCACAACTCAGGGGATAACTTTGTCCTCTTCAGGCTCCAGCATATTGGTTAAGCTTAATCTATGTTTTTATGTTTTTACTTTCAGTTTAAACAGGATGGGTCGGACTTGAAAAAGATTGTGAAATGGGGACAGCAGTACCCTTATGCTTTCCCGATGTGGTTTGGTCCCTTTGTTTGTTTCCTCAGCATTCACCATCCAGACTATGTGAAAACTATATTGATATCTACAGGTGTGTGAGCCATTGTTTTATATCTTTACTGAAGTCATAAACCTTTACAATGTAGCAGTTAAGTCAAATTCATCTTTTGACAATGCTTTTTACTACGTCGTATACATGCAGACTCATATTGGTTTATTATCTGCATTTAAATAAACAAAGGTCAATGTAACATAATCTGTAATTGTTTGTTTCGTAACAGAGCCAAAAGATAATGTGGCATATACTTTTATTAAGCCTTGGATTGGTAAGATTGCTTTTACTTTCTCCTACAGCATATTTTGGTTTACTGCACAGTATTTTCTGTTAAGCTGCTTCCCTCGCTGATCCATACTGCCTCTGTCTGTCTTCAGGTGATGGCTTATTGGTGTCTGATGGTCAGAAGTGGTTTCGCAACAGAAGGCTCTTGACCCCAGGTTTCCATTTTGAAGTTTTGAAACCCTACGTAAATCTGATGTCAGACTCTGTTAAAACCATGCTGGTACGTTAATGACAGTTTTTTTGTTTATAAAATCAGTGTCTGTTTTTTTGCCAAGTTGCATTTCACATAATTTGTACAAGGAAAATGCTTTGTGTAAAGTGCTATAATAAGTAGTCAATGGTGAAGTGATGTGGAGGAAATATAGGCTTAGGCTTATTTTATGTCAAAGTTGTTCCAGCTAAGTGTGTTGAAGTTTTTTCCACGTCCTGCTGAGACCTCACATCTGTTCTTTCACTGTTGCCAGGACAAATGGGAGAGTTATGCAAAAACCAATGAGTCCTTTGAATTGTTTAACCACGTGAGCCTTATGACACTGGACAGCATCATGAAGTGTGCGTTCAGCTACAACAGCAACTGTCAGACCGAGAGGCGAGTCCATACAAACGTTTTCCCGCCATTCACAATTACAGGTTTATGTTCTCAGTTGTCTGAACTGTTTGTCTACGTTCTTATTTCAGCGGAACAAATGAATACATCAAGGCAGTGTATGAGCTCAGTAATTTGATTAACCTGCGGTTCAGGATGTTTCCATACCACAATGACCTCATTTTCTACCTCAGCCCACATGGCTTCAGACTAAGAAAAGCATGCAAGGTGGCTCACAGTCACACAGGTAAGATGTTCACAGATATTACCTTCATGACAATCTAAAACTGAATTTAGCTTGCCCATACATCGAAATTGTATAGGCTCTAAACTGTAGGTTTATGGTTGCTGCATTTTAAGAGTTACTGGGGATATGCTCATTAATTATTCTCTTATTTTGAAGGGGAAGTCATACGAAAGAGGAAAGAAGCACTCAAGGAGGAGAACGAGCTGGATCGCGTACAGGGAAAGAGAAACGTGGACTTTCTGGACATCCTTCTCTTAGCGAGAGTATGTTATGTGCCATGTATTGAATTCACAAAATGAGACACTTCTGATCAATGAAAAAAAACAACATACGTAAAAACTGCAATTGTCAAAGCAGCAAGCTCTCTATAGAGATAATGAATTAATAATCGTGAGAATTTTAGTAATGAGATATTTAAAGCATGAACAGTCTTAAAGTTGCCGCACATTAAAAAAGCGTAGTTGTGTCATGTTTATAACCTGAGATGACGCAAATATTATACTGTATGTGCTTAACCTGCAAGGGGCAAAAAACTAGGGCAAAAGGAAACGCAGAAGGTTTTTCGAATGAGCATTGATATGCTGAGCATGAGGCCACTGGTCAATGGCCACTGGTACAAAGGCAACAGTCTGGTTATTTTACTCTTATGAGGGACTCTTGAGCAGCAACTTAAAAGTTATAAATTTCTGTTGTGCACATATAATCAATATGACACAATAAGCTACTCAAGGACACCTCTGTAACTCGGTAACTAAAATGTCAATGAGTCCTTTCTTTCCAAACACAGTTGACCTGTAAAAGGATCCGACAGACATTAGCTGTTTCTGTGCCAATTCCAATAGGCCTGCAACTTGTACGGTTTTTAATTGGAGTAGTAGTGTCACATTAAGACATAATATGTTCATTACTAATGTTTTAAGTTTGCCTTTTATTTAAGGATGAGAAC